ATGTGGCCTGATGTAGTTCTTGCAAGGTGGCCAGATGTAGTTCCTGCAAGGTGGCCTGATGTAGTGCCTGCAAGGTGGCCTGATGGAGCTTCTGCAAAGTGGCCTCATGGAGTTCCTGTAAGATTGCCTCATGTAGATCCTGCAATGTGCCCTCATGGAGCACCTGCAAGGTGGCCTCATGGAGTTCTTGCAAGGTGGCCTCATGGAGTTCCTGCAAGGTGGCCTCATGGAGTTCCTGCAAGGTGGCCTCATGGAGTTCCTGTAAGGTGGCCTCATGGAGTTCCTGTAAGGTGGCCTCATGGAGTTCCTGCAAGGTGGCCTCATGGAGTTCCTGCAAGGTGGCCTGATGTAGTGCCTGCAAGGTGGCCTGATGTAGTTCCTGCAAGGTGGCCTGATGTAGTTCCTGTAAGATTGCCTAATGTAGATCCTGCAATGTGGCCTCTAGGAGTTCCTGCAAGGTGGCCTCATGGAGTTCCTGCAAGGTGGCCTGATGTAGTGCCTGCAAGGTGGCCTGATGTAGTTCCTGCAAGGTGGCCTGATGTAGTTCCTGTAAGATTGCCTAATGTAGATCCTGCAATGTGGCCTCTATGAGTTCCTGCAAGGTGGCCTCATGGAGCTCCTGCAAGGTGGCCTCATGGAGTTCCTGCAAGGTGGCCTCATGGAGTTCCTGCAAGGTAGCCTCATGGGGTTCCTGTAAGATGTCCTCAGGTAGTTCCTGCAAGGTTGCCTCATGTAGTTCCTGCAAGGTGGCCTCATGGAGTTCCTGCAAGGTGGCCTCATGGAGTTCCTGCAAGGTAGCCTCATGGAGTTCCTGTAAGATGTCCTCAGGTAGTTCCTGCAAGGTGGCCTCATGGAGATCCTGCAATGTGGCCTCATGGAGATCCTGCAAGGTGGTCTCATGGAGCTCCTGCAAGGTAGCCTGATGGAGATCCTGTAAGATGTCCTCAGGTAGATCCTGCAAGGGGGCCTCATGGAGTTTTATGCAAGGTGGCCTCATGGAGTTCCTGTAAGGTGGCCTCATGTAGTTCCTGCAAGGTGGCCTCATGGAGCACCTGCAAGGTGGCCTCATGGAGTTCCTGCAAGGTGGAGTCATGTAGATCCTGTAAGGTAGCCTCATGGAGCTCATGCAAGGTGGAGTCATGTAGATCCTGTAAGGTAGCCTCATGGAGATCCTGCAAGGTGGCCTCATGGAGTTTTATGCAAGGTGGCTTCATGGAGTTCCTGTAAGGTGGCCTCATGGAGATCCTGCAAGGTGGCCTCATGGAGTTCCTGTAAGGTAGCCTCATGGAGTTCCTGTAAGGTAGCCTCATGGAGTTCCTGCAAGGTAGCCTCATGGAGATCCTGCAAGGTGGCCTCATGGAGATCCTGCAAGGTGGCCTCATGGAGTTCCTGCAAGGTAGCCTCATGGAGTTCCTGCAAGATGTCCTCGTGTGCATATTTATCTGATTGTGATATCAAGTTTTGCGGATTGTTTCAAATCACGCTGATAACACAACTCTATAAACGATATAGATATCTAATGTTGCAAATATGAGAATATGTAGATATACGACTTACAAATATAAAATACTTAGAAAACAATATTTTGTCTTCAGGGTTCTCCCCAGAAAACTGACTCTTTGCTGGATATTCAGGATGTCGCAAAAAAAGAAATTGTGCGTGTTTTGAAGGAGTTTAGTAAGATTTTGTGGGATTGTGTTTTGATACCAGATACATTTTGCATCTAGCCATATAAATTAAAACTATGAGCCAAAATATATTTTTCTAAAATACACACTGCAAATGTGTAATTTTTGTTTCAGGGCGATTCCGTTTTCAACCCAACAATATGAAGCATTAATATTATTTTTTTACAAGAATATTCGGGGGCAGTTTATTTTTCGATAAAATGCAACAAATATGCAGCATTTACAATTATGGTATGTTGATTGAAGAAAATGTCAAGATGTCATGATTACCATATTTGTTAGCATATTATATGAGCTTCAAGTTTGTCCATGAGCTACGATATCAAAGCAAAGTTTCCCATTTGTACATGTACTTCCATGTCTTACGAGGTCTCCCATTTGTACATGAACTCCCATGTCTTGCAAGGCCTCCCATTTCTACATGAAGTCCCATGTCTTACGAGGCCTTCCCATTTCTACATGAACTTCCATGTCTTACGAGGGCTTCCCATTTCTACATGAACTCCCATGTCTTACGACGGCTTCCAATTTCTACATGAACTCCCATGTCTTACGAGGGCTTCCCATTTGTACATGAACTCCCATGTCTTACGAGGGTTTCCCCTTTCTACATGAACTTCCATGTCTTACGAGGGCTTCCCGCTTGTACATGAACTCCCATGTCTTGCAAGGCTTCCCATTTCTACATGAACTCCCATGTCTTGCAAGGCTTCCCATTTCTACATGAACTTCCATGTCTTACGAGGGCTTCCCATTTGTACATGAACTCCCATGTCTTACGAGAGCTTCCCATTTGTATATTAACTCCTATGTCTTACGAGGGCTTCCCGCTTGTACGTGAACTCCCATGTCTTGCAAGGCTTCCCATTTCTACAGGAACTTCCATGTCTTACGAGGGCTTCCCATTTCTACATGAACTTCCATGTCTTACGAGGGCTTCCCATTTCTACATGAACTCCCATGTCTTACGAGGGCTTCCCATTTGTTCATGAACTTCCATGTTTTACGAGGACTTCCCATTTGTACATGAACTTCCATGTCTTACGAGGGCTTCCCATTTCTACCAGAACTCCCATGTCTTACGAGGGCTTCCCATTTGTTCATGAACTTCCATGTTTTACGAGGACTTCCCATTTGTACATGAACTTCCATGTCTTACGAGGGCTTCCCATTTGTACATGAACTTCCATGTCTTACGAGGGCTTCCCATTTGTTCATGAACTTCCATGTTTTACGAGGACTTCCCATTTGTACATGAACTTCCATGTCTTACGAGGGCTTCCATTTGTTCATGAACTTTCATGTCTTACAAGGGCTCCCCATTTGTACATGAACTCTTATGTCTTACGAGGGCTTCCCATTTGTACATGAACTTCCATGTCTTACGAGGACTTCCCATTTGTACATGAACTTCCATGTCTTACGAGGGCTTCCCATTTGGACATGAACTTCCATGTCTTACGAGGGCTTCCCATTTGTACATGAACTTCCATGTCTAACGAGGGCTTCCCATTTGTTCATGAACTTCCATGTTTTACGAGGACTTCCCATTTGTACATGAACTTCCATGTCTTACGAGGGCTTCCCATTTGTACATGAACTTCCATGTCTTACGAGGACTTCCCATTTGTTCATGAACTTCCATGTTTTACGAGGACTTCCCATTTGTACATGAACTTCCATGTCTTACGAGGGCTCCCCATTTGTACATGAACTTCCATGTCTTACGTGGGCTTCCCATTTGTACATGAACTTCCATGTCTTACGAGGACTTCGCATTTGTACATGAACGTCCATGTCTTACGAGGACTTCCCATTTGGACATGAACTTCCATGTCTTACGAGGACTTCCCATTTGTACATGAACGTCCATGTCTTACGAGGACTTCCCATTTGGACATGAACTTCCATGTTTTACGAGGTCTTCCCATTTGTACATGAACGTCCATGTCTAAAAAGAGCTATTCGTTTCATATGAAGTATTGAATGGAACACTATGTTCCCTTTGAAAGGACATAAACTTGATATATACTGTTACGTTCAATTTCCAAATTGAAACAATCAGCTTACCCAGAAATCTATAGGGCAACATAATTCAGTGTGAAACCAATCCATAACAAAGACATGTTATACAATGAACAGTTGTATTACAAAATAATAATCTAGGTTTACAAATTACAATGGCAGTACACAATAGTGTGGTAGTGCAAAATGCAATGGCAGTACAATTTCAATGGCAGTATAATATACAATAGCAGAGATAAAAGCAAAAACGTCAGTGATAAAAAAATATGTCAAGGCTATTCCAAAATAGGTCTAGGCTGGATATCAAGAGTGAAAACAATAAACTGTACACGACCGCTGTTCTTGAGTGAGTGAGTGAGTGAGTTAAAATTTAACGTCACATCGGCAGTATTATAGCCGTATCGTGAAGAGAGAGAAGTGAAGTCAGATATTTGATAACAATGAAATTCATACTATTAAAATACCTGTAGCGAAAGGACTGGATAATAACTATACTTAAGAACTTATATTTCCTGTGACATTTAAGAAGATTTAATGCAAAGTTATGTTTTTTTTACCAAATCTGAAACAATTTCAGTTTCAGTGTTAATTTGCCATACTGACTTCAGAAAATGCGTGATTTCATACAAAAACCATGAACATGCCAAAATGTCAGTTTACAAATCAATAGCATGTGTGTCCACCTCTGGTTGCGATGCAAGCAACACATTTTTGTCTCATGGAATGGAACAGGCGTCGCACAAAGTCCTGTCGGATATCTGTCAATATCTGCTGGAGCATGTTTCGAAGTTCCTGGAGTGTCTGTGGAACACGTGGTTGACGTCGAAGGCGCCGATCCATCTCATCCCACATGTACTCGATTGGTGAGTGATCAGGGGAGCGAGCCGGCCAGGGGATGACATTCACGTTGTTTTGTTGAAGAGAATGCTGAACAAGTCGAGCAATATGAGGCCGGGCGTTGTCATGTTGAAAGGTAATGCCTGGGCCATGACGACGTAAAAACGGTAGAACAACAGGACCGATGATCTCGTCGCGGTAGCGCTGTCCATTGAGATTTCCCTCTACCAATATCAAACGGGTCCTTTGTCTTGCTGTAATCCCACCCCATACCATAACGCTGCCGCCCCCGAACCGATCTTCTTCCATGACACAATGATTGATGTAACGTTCACCTCCACGTTGGTACACTCGAATCCGTCCATCGCTGTGGCTGAGGTGAAAACGAGACTCGTCAGTCAATAGAACTTGTCCCCAGTGTGTGGAATTTGAAGGGGTGTCACAGATTTGTTGGGTGCTATTTAGCTGCAGCATCGGCCATTGTGTTACAAATGATACCAACATGGCTAAGCAACAAAAAACGCATTGGCCAGTAGCAAGAACGTTTAATAATTGATTAATTTCAATTAAAAGAGAATGTTTACAAGATTGATTTTTAATTGACTGAAAACAAGAAAGTAAGTCTGAAAATATAACATATTGCTTATGTTTGGATTGTTTATCTATGTACTCTAATGCTGTTAATATGGCCTTGGATTCGGCCGTAAAAATGAAACAGTTATCCTGAAGTCTTAAAGATATTGTCCTGGATCTAATTATGCTGGCGCTGGCAACAGCGTGACCATCCTTAGATCCATCGGTAAATATAGATTTAAAAGTATCATATTTGTTCTCTTAATTCATTATATTCCTGTTCATTAATCAGCTGATTTGTTTCCGATTTCTTTAAACCTCTGGAATTACCAATTTCCCTGGCGGAGAAGATAAAAGTTCTGTGGGAGCTATATTTTCGAGATTTATTTTAGCATCAGGAATATGAGAGATGTAAGAGATGTAAACACAACCGAAGTTTGGATTGGAGTCATTAGAATGCAATTAAGAAATGTACCGTAAAGATAATTTAATGTGACGTTGTTTAAGTAATGGTTCATCGACCTCTAGATACAGGCCATGAACTGGAGATGTTCTAAAGGCTCCTAGGCAAAGCCTCGGGCCCTGGAGATGAATAGAATCATTTTTTTTCAAATTGCTTTTATATGCTCCACCACTTGATAATGGAGCCGTAATCAAGTTTAGAGCGGATAAGCGCTCTGTACAGTTAAACTACTTTCAATAAATCCAATGCTTTCAGTCTTATGATTGAATGGTTTATGTGTTGCAGAAAGGTCATGTGCTGGTCAAAAATAATTCCAAGAAAATTGGCCTCTTTTACAACTTTGATAGGAGTACCATCCAAAACTAAACCAGGGTCCTTATGCGGCTTATACTTTCTACTCACTCACTCACTCACTCACTCCATACGTTACTGACCAAGAAGCGAAGGAATATAAATTTCACCGTACATTTTATTGTTATATCGTTTGGTCGTCGTAGACTTACAAAACCATTACATACATTCAAGGTCACAAAGGCAAAGAGAAACGTATATGTAAAGGGCATGTCAAATTGAACACGTTATACTCAGTAAGATGGCAGGGATTATTTCACCACATAACCGATTCCCAATTAATGTGGTTTCATTCACTAATATCCGTCTGGCTGGCCACCCTTTCGTAGATCACAAGCACTGTGCCTCATGTTGTCCTTGACCCGGACTATATTGACAACTGATGTGAATCCGTAGCTTGTGACGTTGTGGCCTTTAGCAATGAGACCATTCACCACTGCCTGCAATGGAATAAGATATGGAATATCGATGACGATAGAATCTAAGGACCGGAACACTGTTGCTCTTATGAAAAGTAAAACCTTAAACGTTAACAACAATGCCCTGATTCGCCTGGAAAGCTGCCTTCAAAGAGTCACCCTCAATATATAGTGGGGTACATCTCACCTGTTGAACTTCCTCAGTATAAACTGTGACAAACATATGCATGTGATAAACCTCACCTGTTGAACGTCCTCCTCAATACAGACAGTGACACAGATATGCATGTGATAAACCTCACCTGTTGAACGTCCTCCTCAATACACACAGTGACAAACATATGCATGTGATAAACCTCACCTGTTAAACGTCCTCCTAAATACACACAGTAACACACATATGCATGTGATAAACCTCACCTGTTGAACGGCATCCTCAATACACAAAGTGACACACATATGCAAGTGATTAACCTCACCTGTTGATCGTCCTCCTCAATGCACACAGTGACACACATATGCAAAGTGATTAACCTCACCTGTTGATCGTCCTCCTCATACACAATGTAACCGATATGCATGTGATAAACCTCACCTGTTGAACGTCCTCCTCAATACACACAGTGACACACATATGCATGTGATAAACCTCACCTGTTGAACGTCCCCCTCAATACACACAGTGACACACATATGAATGTGATAAACCTCACCTGTTCATTTCCTCCTCAATACACAAAGTGACACACATATGCATGTGATAAACCTCACATGTTGAACGTCCCCCTTTAATACACACAGTGACACACATATGCATGTGATAAACCTCACCTGTTGAACGTCCTCCTCAATACACACAGTGACACACATATGCATGTGATAAACCTCACCTGTTGAACGTCCCCCTCAATACACACAGTGACACACATATGAATGTGATAAACCTCACCTGTTCACCTTCCTCCTCAATACACAAAGTGACACACATATGCATGTGATAAACCTCGCCTGTTGAACGTCCTCCTCAATACACAAAGTGACACACATATGCATGTGATAAACCTCACATGTTGAACGTCCTCCTCAATACACAAAGTGACACACATATGCATGTGATAAACCTCACCTGTTGACCGTCCTCCTCAATACACACAGTAACACACATATGCATGTGATTAACCTCACCTGTTGATCGTCCTCCTCATACACAATGTAACACACATATGCATGTGATAAACCTCACCTGTTGAACGTCCTCCTCAATACACAAAGTGACACACATATGCATGTGACAAACCTCACCTGTTGAACGTCTGCCTCAATACACACAGTGACACACATATGCATGTGAAAAGCTCACCTTTGGAAAGCCATCTTCAACTGATAATGTGGACGGCAAAAGCTGGTGATGAAGACGTTTGTGGTCCAGGGCTTCTCCGGCACTCAGCCCAAACTTGAGGGTATGTAGTGTTACCTGTACAGAAACAACGTGAAAACGTGTGCATCTGAAATATATCCAGTCAGTGACACGTCATGATTGATGTGCATCAATGTTCTGCAGTGTCACAAAATTGTTTAGGTGTATGTGCAACATATTCCGTCAGTGATTTAACTTCTTTCAGTGGCATTTAGAAGTTGGTGTGATGAAGTAAGACAAGTTCTATGGATGAACAACTTCACTGCTCGATAAAGGTGTTAGGATCTACACCGAAACGTCGCACTAATTGTAATAAAGAAGTTGTTCATCCATAGTGATTTAACATCGTTAATTATCATGTGCACACCAATCATCAGTGATCATCTTCGCGTTAACTGACTATAAAATTCTGGAGTTACATAATGGCTGGACCAACCAGTCACTGCATAGTCCAATCAAGAGCGCCAACTCTTTTTTACAATATAGATCTTGATTATCGATGAGATCGTTTTGACGGGCGTCGCCATTTTGTACAATATATTTTGCCAAACTAACATTAATGTCAACATAAAGCGAGTGACTGAATGTTTGAGATTAAATCTTCCTTCTCGCTACCGCTAAGCAAGGATCTGAACACATCCCATTACGGATCACGTCGGAACGCCCTCCCTTCTACCAATCAAAACGGCGCTTACTAGACAGTCGGAATGTGTTTCAAAGCCCAGTCCGGAATGAGGTGAGGTGAAATGAAATGGGGTTTAACGTTGCCTTCAAAATTATTGCACTTATATGGCTACGTGCATGTGAGCGTGTGTGTGTGCGTGTGTGTGTGTGTGTGTGTGTGCGTGTGTGTGTGTGTGTGTGTGTGTGCGTGAATGGCTGATGTCGAGTTTTGGTAAGTCACTTCATTGGTAGGTACTAATCGGGGCGAACCAGGACTCGAACCCACGATCGAAGGTTGCTGTTATGACAAGGGACGCAACTCTGCACAGCAAATTGCGGCGCCTTTGACGACTAAACCACCCGTGCCCCCATATGGTATTATAGTTTCAAGCCTGATTACGCGTTTGCATAATTTTAGGTCTAAATCTGTAACGGTGATTCGTGTTTTGCTTGTGGTGGTGTACTTCAACATACCAATGCTGCAGCTGTTGTAATCTTTGGGCCACCAGCTCCTCCCAAAACCAAGATGACGTCACCGGAGTTATCTACCACAACAGTAGGACACATTGACGACAGAGGGCGCTTTCTGGGTTTGATATAATTGGCGGGTGATGCTGGCACACCGTACACGTTGACAGTACCGGGTGTCGAGAAGTCGTCCATTTCATTGTTATAAATTATTCCTGTTGTCTTACCAAGAACTTTCGATCCAAAACTGAATAGGAAAGAAGTTGTGACCAACATTATACATACGAATAATAAACATCCTTTAATCTTTTTAACGGAACTTTAGACAATCAGATACAATAAATTATCAGTATAAGAGGGAATATACAGTCACACATCGTTGTGTCGAACTTTGACGTGTCGAACTTACGGTAGTCTCGAAGCAAAACAGGTACTGCACTTTTTTCCTTAGGTCAGTGATGTCCCCAGCGTTCGCCAAAGGGGTAAACATATGCTTTTCACCATTGTTTGCCTTACATCTTAAAACTGATCGATGTCAAGTTGGACTCACAAGTAATTTATGGTTGATGTTATCGCAACGGCGTTTCCCTCCGCATCTACAACAGAGAGGTGCGTGGTTCCTTGGTCTAGCGCACTGGAGAAGGTAGCACCATAGTACTTGGCGTCGTGAGTTGCTGCGTCATCAATCTTGGCCCGGGTAGAATCTCCAAATTCCCGAGATGTCATGTTTTTCATCAACTTAAACACGATCACAAACACAGATGACATTAAAGTGGCATTCCAGTCGGAATTACAGGCAGGTGAATTGCCATTTTCGCATGTTTGTTCGGCCATAACGGGCGACTAATGGGATCGGGTGGTCAGACTCACTGACTTGTTTGATGCACGTCATCGTATCCAAATTATGTAGATCGGTACTCCTGAATGGAATGTCTGGTCCAGATTCGATTATGTACAGACCGCCGTCATATAGCTGGGATATTGCTGAGTGCGACGTTAAACAAGAAACAAACAAACTTACATCTGCCACGTCTTCAAAATCTTCATCACCAAGTTCTGATCTTTTGGCATATGCGAACTTGAAAGCCTCCACTATTCTGTGGTATGTCAGTATGCTGTTGTCATCATTCGAGACACTTTCAGTCGTGAAGTTGTACCCTGCAAATGTAACTTGATACATACACACTGGGGCACGATGCCAGCTAACAATATTACATTATGTGTGTGTGTGTGTGTGTGTGTGTGTGTGTGTGTGTGTGTGTGTGTGTGTGTGTGTGTGTGTGTGTGTGTGTGTGTGTGTGTGTGTGTGTGTGTGTGTGTGTGTGTGGGTGGATGGGTGGGTAGGTGGGTGGGTAGGTAGGTAGGTAGGAAGGTAGGTAGGTAGGTAGGTAGGTAGGTAGGTAGGTAGGTAGGTAGGTAGGTAGGTAGGTAGGTGGGAAGGTAGGTAGGTAGGTAGGTAGGTAGGTAGGTAGGTAGGTAGGTAGGTAGGTAGGTAGGTAGGTAGGTAGGTGGGAAGGTGGGTAGGTGGGTAGGAAGGTAGGAAGGTGGGTAGGTAGGTAGGTAGGTAGGTAGGTAGGGAGGTAGGGAGGTAGGTAGGTAGGTAGGTAGGTAGGTAGGCAGGAAGGCAGGTAGGCAGGCAGGCAGGCAGGCAGGCAGGCATGCAGGTAGGTAGGTAGGTAGGTAGGTAGGTAGGTAGGTAGGTAGGTAGGTAGGTAGGTAGGTAGGTGTGTGGGTGGGTGGGTGGGTGGGTGGGTGGGAAGGTGGGTAGGTGGCCAAAAAATATAACTTGCAAGCTTCAATTCATATTTATTACGCAGATACATGGCATCCAACATTTTCGAACTATAACTGTTTACGTCATAACTGCAGTCAGTGACGATACGGATTACACAGAGCCATAGATAAACCACTTATGTATGGTTAGCATAGTGAAGCTCTACAAGGTATACGGTCAGGGTTGTACGCCTTTTCAGAATAAAGAACGATTTGTCTGCAGCAGTTAATGAAAACATCCTGTCTCTAACATAAACTCCAACTGGGTGGTGGCTTTTCTTTTGTGATAAGTGTCATTGTTTCATTGTGTTTCATATTGGAACAGCTTAACCTACTGATGATTAAATGTGAATAGTTTGACTGAAAGGGCTGAAAATCGGTCGAAGCAGCAACTCGCTATGTTTCGTGAGAGAATATTTTTCTGTTAAATCGTGTATGTACGATTACAAATCACAGACTAATTCTATTTGACTGGCAATAATAGTTCGCGTTATTGTGCACATTGTGGCTGGTGCTACGTTAAAACAGGTCATGCTTTCCCTTTTCGGGAGCACCTGGTGTCATCACTGATATTCAGTGATCTTTTATATAATTTTCACCAATATTTTGCCTTTTACACCCAGTTTCGGCAGATAATGGAGACTGGTTATTTTCTGGCGTTTTGTAAATATCCTGTCGCTCAAGGACGGTATCGCGTTCTACTTGACTGTTCATTCTACTTCCCATTGGGGTGAAAATATGTCCTTGTTTGTTAGATTAATGAGCCAAATATTATAGAATTCCAGTAGTTCTACCATAAAGACAAGTGAGTTATACATAGAGAATCTCACCCGAGTGTCTTTTGATATCAAATATATCAACATGAGTTGATAAAAGTGGCAAAACTCCGAGGCTTGCCGGGGATTTTTTCCACTTTTATCAACAAGTGTTGATATATTTGATATCAAAAGACATGATGGTGAGATTTTATTTATCATCCAACATCAATCTTCCAACTTGTTCAGTTTGTAGACAGTAATAAGCAGCGTCTTTAGTGTAAAAAGTACTGCTAACAGCTTCAGTAGCAGAGCCATAGGTGATGTCATTTGATTGTGACATCATGGTAACCAATGACATCACAAATTCACAATGTTCTTCAAAGCATTGTGATGCAGTTTCATTGCAGCGATATCTACACTGTAGATATCGCTTGATCTCACCCAAGGGATATCTCCTGAGGGAGCCAGTTTTTGATAAAAACAAACACGCCCATCTTCATATGCCACGCATTGCTGTATAGAAACAAAGTTAAAATGTATGTGACGTCTCTGTACTCAAGGTACTATAGGACTTTTGACTTAAGTGCTTGATCATGAATAAAGAATGAAAAGAAGACTATACCGTCTAGGACATTGGGGACAATGATGACATATCGCCTGGACATTGAGAAAGGAGCCATATCGTCTAGGACATTGAAGGGGAAGGCCACATCGTCTTGGACATAAGGGCAAGGCCATACCGTTTAGGGACATGAGCACAAGGCCATACCGTCTCAAAATTGAGGACGAGGCAATACCGTCTAGGACATTAAGGGTAAGACCATACCTTCTAGGACATTGGGGACCAGGCCATACCGTCTAGGACATTGAGGACAAGGCAATACCGTCTTGGACATTGGGTACAAGGCAATACCTTATAGGACACTGAGGATAAGACAATACCGTCTTGGACATTAAGGGTAAAACCATACCATCTAGGACATTGGAGACCAGGCCATGCAGTCTAGGACATTGGGGACCAGGCAATACCGTCTAGGACATTAAGGGTAAAACCATACCATCTAGGACATTGGAGACCAGGCCATACCGTCTAGGACATTGGGGGCAAGGCAATACCGTCTTGGACATTGGGGACAAGGCAATACCGTCTTGGACATTGGGGACAAGGCAATACCATCTTGGACATTGAGGACAAGGCAATACCGTCTTGGGCATTGGTGACAAGGCTATACCGTCTAGGACATTGAGGACAAGGCTATACCGTCTAGGACATTGAGGACAAGGCCATACCGTCTAGGACATGGATACCAGGCCATACCGTCTAGGACATTGAGGACCAGGCCATACCGTCTAGGACATTGGAGACCAGGCCATACCGTCTAGGACATTGGGTACAAGGCAATACCTTATAGGACACTGAGGATAAGACAATACCGTCTAGGACATTAAGGGTAAAACCATACCATCTAGGACATTGGAGACCAGGCCATACAGTCTAGGACATTGGGGACAAGGCAATACCGTCTTGGACATTGGGGACAAGGCAATACCGTCTTGGACATTGGGGACAAGGCAATACCATCTTGGACACTGAGGACAAGGCCATACCGTCTAGGACATTGGAGACCAGGCCATACCGTCTAGGACATTGGGGACAAGGCAATACCGTCTTGGACATTGGTGACAAGGCTATACCGTCTAGGACATTGAGGACAAGGCCATACCGTCTAGGACATTGAGACCAGGTCATACCGTCTAGGACATTGGGGACAAGGCCATACCTTCTAGGACATTGGAGACCAGGCAATACCGTCTAGGACATTGGAGACCAGGCCATACCGTCTAGGACATTGGGTACAAGGCAATACCTTATAGGACACTGAGGACAAGACAATACCGTTTAGGACATTAAGGGTAAAACCATACCATCTAGGACATTGGAGACCAGGCCATACAGTCTAGGACATTGGGGACAAGGCAATACCGTCTTGGACATTGGGGACAAGGCAATACCGTCTTGGACATTGGGCACAAGGCAATACCATCTTGGACATTGAGGACAAGGCCATACCGTCTTGGACATTGGAGACCAGGCCATACCGTCTAGGACATTGGGGACAAGGCAATACCGTCTTGGACATTGGTGACAAGGCTATACCGTCTAGGACATTGAGGACAAGGCCATACCGTCTAGGACATGGAGACCAGGCCATACCGTCTAGGACATTGGGGACAAGGCCATACCTTCTAGGACATTGGAGACCAGGCAATACCGTCTAGGACATTGGAGACCAGGCCATACCGTCTAGGACATTGGAGACAAGGCCATACCGTCTAGGACATTGGGGACAAGGCCATACCGTCTAGGACATTGAGGACAAGGCCATACCGTCTTGGACATTGAGCACCAGGCCATACCGTCTAGGACATTGGGGACAAGGCCATACCGTCTTGGGCATTAAGGGTAAGGCCATACCGTCTAGGACATTGGGGACAAGGCTATACCGTCTAGGGCATTGAGGGTAATGCCATACCTTCTAGGATATTGAGGACAATGCAATGCCGTCTAGGACATTGAGAACAAGGCCATACAGTCTATGAGATTGAGGACAATGGCATACTGTCTAGGACATTGAGGGCAAGGACATACAGTCTAGGACATTGAAGGTAAGGCAATGCCGCCTAGGACTTCGAGTGCATGGCCATACAGTCTAAGACATTAAGTGCAAGGCCATACAGTCTAGGTTATTTAGAGTAAGGCCACGTAGTCTAGGACATTGAGGGTAAGGCCATACGGTGTAGGACATTAAGGGTAAGGTCATACCGTCTAGGACATTAAAGGCAAGGCCATACCGTCTAGGACATTGAGTGCAAGGCCATACAGCCTAAGACATCAAAGGCAAGGCCATACCATCAAGAACGTTGAGGTAAGGCCATACCGTATAGGACATTGAGGGCAAGGCCATACAGTCTAGGACATTAAAGGCAAGGCCATACCGTCAAGGACATTTAGTGCAAGGCCATACAGTCTAGGACATTAAAGGCAAGGCCATACCGTCTAGGACATTGAGGATGTATGCATACACAGCTCCACTTCCTGGTGCGGGCATTGAGTGCACTCTGTTGCCATCTCTCAGGGTGAAGGTAACTGGTGTTCGCCATGAGGCCGTATACCCACTCAGGTCTTCTTTTGATACGATGCCACCTGGAATGAACCACAGTTGAGAGAGATCGGACTTGTTATGGTTTTAGCCTACTCAGAGATAACAAACGACACATTAACATTGATGTCCTGGAATACATCCTTCACCATTGTCCTCCATCACACCATTCAACACCATTCACCATTCTCCTCCATCTTATCAAACAACACTATTCACCAGTCTCCTCCATCACACCATTCAACACCTCTCAACATTCTCCACCATCAGACCATTCAATACCTCTCACCATTCACCTCCATCACACAATTCAACACCACAAACTATTTTTCTCCATCACACCATTCAACAACACTCACAACTCTCCTCCATCACACCATTCAACACCTCTCACCATTCTCCTCCACCTCATCATTCAACACCACAAACAATTCTTCTCCATCACACCATTCAACAACACTCAACTCTCTCCCCAATCAGGCCATTCAACACCACTCACCCTTCTCCTCCATCAAACCATTGAACAACACTCATCACGTTCCTCCGCCACACAATTCAAGACCATTTTCCTACATCTCACCATTCAACACCATTCTCCTCAATCACACCATTCAACAACATTCAACACTCTCCCCATCACATCATTCAACATCACCCACCATTCTCCTCCATCTACTATTCAACACCTTTCTCCTCGACCTCATCTTTCAACACCTCTGACCATTCTCCTCCATCACACCATTCAATACCATTTTCCTCCATCACACCATTCAACAACATTCAACACTCTCCCCATCACATCATTCAACATCACCCCTCATTTTCCTCCATCTCACCATTCAACACCATTTTCCTCCATCTCACCATTCAACACCTTTCTCCTCCACCTCATCTTTCAACACCTCTGACCATTCTCCTCCATCTCACCATTCAACACCATTCTCCTCTATCGCACCTTTCAACACCATTCTCCTCCATCACACCTTTCAACACCATTCTCCTCCATCACACCATTCAACATCACCCACCATTCACCTCTATCTCACTTATCTTCTCCCCTACCCCGCCCATTCAACAACACCCACCATTTTCCTTTATCTCAGACACTATGGCATCAGTCAGGCTGCCGTTATAGAAGGCCGAGGCCCCTTCAGTAGCGACAGTCTCCAGGGTGTCTGCGAGTTTGGGATACTTGACCGTGTCTCCAGCCTTCACCATGGCACCAGTCGTAGGGTGGAAGTACATTCTGGTGTGGAGTGATAAAACAGTTACACAGTAATACAATAAAACGTTGACATATTCAGATGTAGGGTGGAAGTACATTCTGGTGGGAGTAATAAAACAGTTACACAGTAATACAATAAAACGTTGACATATTCAGATGTAGGGTGGAAGTACATTCTGGTGGGAGTAATAAAACAGTTACAAAGTAATACAATAACACGTTGACATATTCAGATGTAGGGTGGAAGTACATTATGGTGTTGAGTAATAAAACAGTTACAAAGTAATACAATAACACGTTGACATATTCAGATGTAGGGTGGAAGTACATTCTGGTGGGAGTAATAAAACAGTTACAAAGTAATACAATAACACGTTGACATATTCAGATGTAGAGTGAAAGTACATTCTGGTGTGGAGTAATAAAACAGTTACACAGTAATACAATAAAACGTTGACATATTCAGATGTAGGGTGGAAGTACATTCTGGTGTGGAGTAATAAAACAGTTATGCAGTAATACAATAAAACGTTGACATATTCAGATGTACGGTGGAAGTACATTCTGGTATGGAGTAATAAAACAGTTTCACAGTAGTACAATAAAACTTTGACATATTCAGATGTAGGGTGGAAGTCGATCTAGTATGGAATGATAAAACAGCTACACAGTAAGACAATAAAACGTTGACATATTCAGATGTAGGGTGGAATTCGATCTAGTATGGAATGATAAAACGGCTACACGGTAAGACAATAAAACGTTGACATATTCAGATGAAGGGGGGAAGTCGATCTAGTATGGAATGATAAAACGGCTACACAGTAAGACAATAAAACGTTGACATATTCAGATGTAGGGTTGAAGTTCATTCTGGTATAGGTGAGGTGAAATTGGGTTTAAAGTCGCGTCCAAGATTATTACACCTATATAGCGACGTGCATGCACGTGTGTGTGTGTGTGTGTGTGGCTGTTTGTACTAGTCCGGACTGATGCCGATTTATAGTGCTAGCTCAATGAGATACCATGCCGCAGGTCCACATGAATACCCCACTCAGACACAGTATACTGACTCCGAGCCGACCAGTCCTTGTTTAAGCCCCTTAATGCCGAGCGCCAGACATGGTAACAACAAATACAATCTTTTAACGTCTTTTGGTATGACGCGGCCGGTTTTCGAACCCCGGACCTTCCGCTCTCCGGGCGGACGCTTTACCACAAGACCACGGAGGCGGCCATTCTGGTATAGAATAGTAAAACAGTTATGCACCAATAGAACAAAACATTGATATTTTGATATGTACAAATTGTTTGCAGCATGAATGGACAACACGGCAACCCTCATCAAGCCAGAGTGAGTGAGTGAGTGAGGTTTTACGCCGCTTTTAGCAATATTCCAGCAATATCGCGGCGGGGGACACCAGAAATGGGCTTCACACATTGTACCCATGTCGGGAATCGAACCCGGGTCTTCGGCTTGACGAGCGAACGCTTTAACCAATAGGCTACCCGACCGCCCCTCATCAAGCCAGAAATCAGACAGGTTAATGCGTTACACTAGTTGTCATGACAGACTGAAAATCGCTCTTGCCCATCTGACCAGCAACATTCAATTAATTCGAAGGCTGTCTGTACATCACATGGGAGCTTTATGACCAACGTCCCACGCCGTTGGGTCGTTCAGTTAGACGTACTCACATAACTCACCGAGTCATACCAACCGAAATATTTGTGGTCTCGAACGACCAGCATAGGTTGATTCGGCCCTTAAATTCGGGCCAGGAGTTCTCATATCGTCTCATTTTGTTGTACAGGTCACAAGCATGACTGCAACTATACTTTAGGCAACAAAGAAACTCGTTGTGCTTACGTGAATGATCCGTTTCGAAGTAGGTCGACGGATCTGGATATTCCATAAGCCGTTGCCTTGGTTACCTTCACTCCTTCTCTGCACATCTTGATTGTTGGCTCAAAGAGATATTTCCACGGTAGTTTACCAAATCTCTGGTGGGCCTCCCAATACCCCATTAGTTCCCCCGGCACAGCAATAGCAAGGCCACCTGAAATTGAATATTGTGTCATATAATTATTTTCGCTATGGCTCATGATACAGAGACCATTGGTGATGTAATGCATGACGTTACAGTAGATGACGTCACATCAAGACCGAACACTGTTGACGCCATGTTGACACTTTCAGCCTGCTACATGGTTTTAAATATTTGAGAAACATCCTGATTATTATTCCACGTTTGTCAGTACCGTATATATAGAGACATGCATCACTCCCTCCCTCACTCCCTCACACCCTCCCTCCCTCCCTCCCTCCCTCCCTCAATCACTCACTCACTCACTCACTCGTTCACTCACTCACTCACTCACTTACCCACTCACTCACTCACTCACTCACCCCTCTCCCAATTCCATAAAAATATATTAACATTTGGCAAGAAATACTATAGAAAAATACCAGTATTTCATTCACCTAAAAATCCAAAATCGAAATATTTTCATCGTCGTAGATTATTTCGCGTTGCCGCATGTGCAGCCTCACTTGTAACTGACAACAACTTGTGCTTCCGTTATAGTGATTTTACTTGCGCTTCGGAGTGAAAATTGATATTTCATTGAAGAATGATTATGGTTTGGATGCAGAAATGTCCGGAAGGTGTTGTTAAACGTACTGGATATTTCTTGTACTACCATAAGACGACACGTTCCCTTTCCTGTCCCGAATAAAGAAATGTGTGAATCTTATTCATGGTGTGCCCGTTGGGATGTCACTCACTCACTCACTCACTCACTCACTCACTCACCACTCACTCACTCACTCACTCACTCACTCACTCACTCACTCACTCACTCACTCATACCTACCCCCTGTTCCCTTAGATTAAGGGATTTCCGGTGACATGATGCCCACAAGGCCAGTTGATATACAGGAAAATTTAAAAAATAACGTTTACAAAGTATGACAAGAGATAACGGAACTACTTTTCATGGGTCATCCCCGAGTAGAACAATTCTACTGCACTTTGGTCACTTTGGTCACTGTATTCCAAAGCACTTGGTAATTACAGGAGTACGAAATTTATTTCTCTAGTACTTCAAAAAGGCCACTGGTGCATGTATCGGATGTTCTTAACAAGGAGATTGATACAGTCGGCAAACCGTGTCTGAAGTAGATGAGAGGGACCGAAAAGCGGTAATAGCAAAAAAGGTCGGTTTTTTTGTTTCCAGACAAAAACATTTCTACCGACCAATGAAGGAGTTAATAATTTCTAAACAAATTGTTGACAGAGAGACGTGACGTCCATGACATAATCTCTATTCATATTAGGCTACATAGTCATATTGTAATCTGAGTTGTAGCAAAATGACATCTGCAGGGTTTCAGGCGACGCAGAAAGGTGAGGTGAGGTGAGGTGAGGTGAGGTGAGGTGAGGTGAGGTGACATCTGCAGGGTTTCAGGCGACGCAGAAAGGTGAGGTGAGGTGAGGTGAGGTGAGGTGAGGTGAGGTGAGGTGAGGTGAGGTGAGGTGACATCTGCAGGGTTTCAGGCGACGCAGAAAGGTGAGGTGAGGTTACATCTGCAGGGTGTCTGGCGACGCAGAAAGGTGAGGTGAGGTGAGGTGAGGTGAGGTGACATCTGCAGGGTTTCAGGCGACGCAGAAAGGTGAGGTGAGGTGAGGTGAGGTGAGGTGAGGTGAGGTGAGATTGGGTTTAATTCGCGTTCCAAATTATCTCCGGGCGGGCGCTCTAACACTAGACTACAGAGGCGACCGCGACGCAGAAATGCGCCCCCAGAAGGCACTAATGGATAGAATGGACGCAGAAACAAATATTTCTCGTATAGCACTAAATTCTTGGCAAAAGCATATATTGTTCCTGTAACTAAAGTAATTATTAAATCTTACAGTACGTTACGCTTCACCCTTTTTTTACTTTACAGGACCCTCATATTTCTGTATGGACTCTTGAATTAATTATTGGGGGTCCGATGGATTTTAGTTTTGTAGGTCAAGGTACAACGCTGGATTTCAGTGACCAATCAATTTCACGTCACTCTTATCTGCAAAGTTTTAAAAAAAATATTCTTGTTCAATATAGTATATGGAGTAACATGACATGTAATATAATTTTTAAGTATAGGATAAAACACGTCAGAGGGTTATTATGCTATTTAAAACCCGCATCCCGGGGGATTTTCCGAGGGAAAGGGGTTCTAAATATGATAACAACCCGAGGGGAAGTGTTTTATCTTACTTATAAACCGATTTTGAACCTTAAAATTATCCTCAAACTAAATTTCAACTCGTTATAAGTGTACAATAAAGCACGTCCAAGGGTTTTTCTCACATTTAAAACACGCATCCCAAGGATAACGTTTTTAGATATAATAAAAACCCGACGGGAAGTGTTTTATCTAACTTATGAACCGAAAAAAGAAACTTAAAACAACATTTATCAACATTTTTATGTTTTGAACATACTTTCCATGAACCTTAGGAAACGGGCGTAAAATATCTGTTGCTGGCGAACGTTCTTGAAAAGGACATTCTAAAAAGCAGTACGGCTTATCAACACCTCTGTAGCCTTGTGGTACACTCACTGGGCTACAGATATGAAGGTTGCGAGTTCTATCCTCGGGAATATAAAGAAAACATTTGTCATATGATTTTTACATTTCATTACATGTTACAATCTGAACGGAAGTTATATTAATAAAATCCCTGGGATATTATAACACATTATGTATTGGAGAAAACACGCTTACGAGGTTTTGGTAGACAGAGCATGCCCTGGGGAGAGGGAAAAACCAAGGGGACATGCTCTGTCTAACAAAACCGAGGGAAAGTGTTTTTCCATACTTATAAACCGTCTAAATTGATTAAATGTTATAACGAGCATCTATAAATGAGGCGCTTCATTATAGCGCTTCCTTGAAGACGGGATATCATAACTTGCACGTGAAATTCGCTGACTTGCCAGGCGTTCAAGAGCACTTGGATGTGTCAACAACAAAACAAAACTTGAATACTTACTTTTAAATGAAAGTGAAATCCTCGGTTTCTAAATGTTTGTGTTGCAATATTCCACTTTTTTTAAACCTTTCAAAACGAAAATTCGCAAATTTTAAAGATGTTTTTTTGCTTTACAAGATTGTCGACTTTAAACAATCCAACTGTTACATAGAGGTAGTTGTGACGTAACGGCTAGCAGTTACTGCACGTGCAAATTGTGCAGCATTGATAAGCACTTGTTTAAAAGCATGTGTTTTGAAACCTCGCTGTCCTTTCATCGGAGACTCTGAAGTGATGTCGCTTTTAAATGTCCACGCGGAACTGTACACATGACATTCAATTTTAATTGATTTAAAATTTTGAATTGCTACTTGTTGTCATTTTTTCAGTTACTTGGTTAAACCTGGGATTTGAGGTTTTACATTCAAAGTAAAACCTCCCGAACGAAAATAAAACCTCACAATAGGTTTTAATACCTATAGAAAGAACTCTCTTACTTTATAGAGATTCCAATGAATAGGTTTATAAACAGCAAATATGACTTGAATATCCTATAAAATCCAGGGGATATTTTATATAATCCCAGGGACATTACAACGTCCCTGTTTATTCGATTTAACCCGACTGGAGAACAATGGGATGACGTCACCGGAGGTTTATAAGCGTAGTTACATACCTATACAGCAGACACATTTTAGTTGTCTGGTCAGGACACAGGTGTATAACAATGTTAACATTATCTGCAAAGTTCATAACGATAGCGTTACGAGGGGCGTTCAATAAGTTTTGCAACTTCAATATGAGACCAAGTCGCAGAATATCTTTTGCACTTTTTCAATACAACCACTATTCACCTCAATACACTTATTTCATTTGTCCTTCAAGCTTTTAATACCACTTTTATATAAATCCCCAGGAAATAGGAAATAGTGACTGGGGACTAAGTCTGGTCTGTAGGTCGGGTGATTTAACTGTACAGCCGTGACTTAGCCCACAGTGACAATTTCCTGTTCCGGCAAATGAAATCTGCCCTATGTGGAAGACGCTTCCAGGATTACGAGGACATTAAGGCTGCCACAGAGGCGTGGTTAGAGTGCCAATCTGCGGATTTCTATAAAAGTGTAACTTTCGTTTCGATTTTATATATTAAAATTATCTTCTGTTATGCTTTTCAAAAAGCTATAAAAATCTCACTTGTTTAAATTTGATATAATACACACACTTAATATCATATGTATACAAATATTACTCACTTATCAAATTATAAAAATGCACCCTGGCGACGAAAGTCATGATATGACATTCGACAAAGAATACATTCTCCTTCAAAGGCAATCACAACAAGATGATTGTATCTGCTCTGAGAGCAAAATGGCCCTGTGACGGTTAGATGCCCTGTTTTCTTGCAACTCACCGTTGAGGGATGCACCCTTCTCTCGTCCAACGTACATGGTGCTGTTGGCGGCCAAGGGCGCCCTTTCTCGAGCATCCAAAACGTGGGACATACCCGATGTTCTAGTCACACAAAAGAAGAAATGTTTGACAAGAGTTACATTGCAACGTTTCAAAGAACTCAAAGTAGCAAACAAAACAAACTGGGGGAAGGATGATAGCGGGATCATGATAAACTTGTCTTTTAAAAAAAGGCTTCGCCTCAGGTCAACAAAAGAAAAAATATGTTGTGGGTCAAAGAAAAATGTTTGGTTCCTCAAATCTCAGAACACAACGCTATGTTTTGATAGGAATTATGAACTATTGTTTCAATAATAAAATTCCTGGTCCGTATCCAGGTCCTGTATTGCTGTTCAGTGAGTGAGTTGAGTTTTTAGCATTATACCAGCAATATAACGGCAGGGGACATCAGAAATTGGCTTAGCACTTTCTACTCGTGTGGGGATTCAAACCCGGATCTTCGGCGTGACGAGTAAACGCTTTAACTACTAGGCTACCCCACCGCCCTCATTTTCAAGATAATATTACTTTTTTGTCAGGTTCTCCTTTGATTTTTGTTCATGTTTATTGTTACTGGAGATATAATTCAAAACAATCCCATGGCAATATATGTTTTAGATATATCTATTTAAATCAACCATTTCTTAGTCAGTATTCTTCATACAAGTGTATTGTAAACCATACATTTTACAAAGACTGTCTGGCAAAATTGTTCTTTAATAATGAACAAGGAACAATGTACAGTTTCTTATGGACAGATGCCATTAATATGCTAAAGTTTTGAATGGTTTAAAATTCGTAATATTTTCTTGGTATAAATTTTACAAATTCGAATCTGGTAACATTTGCATTTTAGCAAGAAGAGTACTCCTCTTCAACAATTATATTTACATAATTTGCAAACGCGTTCCCCCAGGTATTTCAAGACCAACGTTTTGCTTTTTGAAAGAATAGTTGTATGAGTTTGAGCCTTCTGTGTGAGCTGCACGTCAACACACGTTAATGACCATTAACAATTCAGTAGCGGTATTTAGTATCAATCAGATCATTTCGTAGTTGTGTTCATTATGAACACTATACCACATTATACCTAACCCTTGTAATGATCATTTTAATTTTTTAAATAAATGTATTTGGAAATATAAAGAAAACAAAATGTTCTTGGTGTGAATATTTTTCGTAAGTTTTTAAAAGCTTGAAATATGAAATGATAATCATTTATTCATAACTTACACAATGAACGATTTCGCGTTGAAGAATCAACATTTTGACGTCAATTTCAATTGCGTTGTAATTTTAATGTCCCCGCTCTACACGTCCCTAGGATTTAATGCGAATGTCAGTTTCAAAGTAAAAAAGATATCTTTCTGTTGGAACATACTTTAATATTCCTTTTATAATTTATGAGTTATTTTTCTGGGTTCCTGGAATTGTCTTACCTGTTGTAAACCGTCATAAAGAACCCTCCACCTAGTCCGCAACTTTGTGCATTTAAAACACAGGAACATACTGCAGTGGCTATAGCTGCGTCCACTGCGGATCCACCTCTGGCCAACACGTTCCTGAGAAACAAACACATCTACTTGACAAGGCATAACAGAGGGGGTTACCATCAAAGGAGGCACTGGTGGCATCAAATCACTGTATAGAGTGGCGTCCCTTGGATGTACCAGACACATATGACCGTTGGTTCGTTGGTACACTCTGGGGCGTATGTGTACGTATTGTGATGGTTCACAATGGGACGTGTACGTATTGTGATCATACACTCTGGGACGTGTACGTATGGTGACGATACACTCTGGGACGTGTACGTATGGTGATGATACACTGTAGGACGTGTACGTATGGTGATACACTCTGGAACATGTACGTATTGTGACGGTACACTCTGGGACATGTACGTATGGTGACGATACACTCTGGGACGTGTACGTATGCTGACGATACACTCTGGGACATGTACGTATTGTGACGATATACTCTGGGACATGTACGTATTGTGACGATATACTCTTGGACATCAACGTATGGTGACGATACACTCTGGGACGTGTACGTATTATGACGATACAATCTGGGACATATACGTATTGTGACGGTACACTCTGGGACGTGTACGTATGGTGACGATACACTCTGGGACGTGTACGTCTGGTGACGATACACTCTGGGACGTGTGCGTATGGTGATACACTCTGGGGCGTGAACGTATGGTGACGACCTACTCTTGGACATGTACGTATGGTGATACACTCTCGGACGTGTGCGTATGGTGATGATACACTGTAGGAAGTGTACGTATGGTGACGATTTAATCTGGGACATGTACGTATTGTGACGATACACTCTGGGACGTGTACGTATTGTGACGATACACTCTGGGACATATACGAAGTGTGACGGTACACTCTAGGACGTGTACGTATAGTGACGATACACTCTGGGACGTGTACGTATGGTGACGATACACTCTGGGTCGTGTACGTATGGTGACGATACACTATGGGACGTGTGCGTATGGTGATACACTCTAGGGCGTGAACGTATAGTGACGACCTACTCTTGGACGTGTGCGTATGGTGATGATACACTGTAGGACGTGTACGTATGGTGACGATATACTCTGGGACATGTACGTATTGTGACGATACACTCTGGGACGGGTACGTATAATGATACACTCTGGGACGTGTACGTTTGGTGGTGATACACTGTAGGACGTGTATGTATGGTAACTATACACTCTAGGACATGTACGTATAGTGGTGATACACTCTAGGACATGTACGTATGATAACGATGCACTCTGGGACGTGTACGTATGGTGATACACTCTGGGACGTATACGTTGGAAAGTGCTACACTCTGGGACGTGTACGTATGGCGATGATACACTCTGGGAAGTGTACGTATGGTGACGACCTACTCTTGGACATGTACGTACAATGTATGGTGATACACTCTCGGACGTGTGCGTATGGTGATGATACACTGTAGGACGTGTACGTATGGTGACGATATACTCTGGGACATGTACGTATTGTGGCGATACACTCTGGGACGTGTACGTATGGTGATACACTCTGGGAAGTGTAGGTATGGTGGTGACACACTCCGGGACGTGTACGTGTGGTGGTGATACACTATGGGACGTGTACGTATGGCCAGGATACTCTCTAGGACATGGACGTATGGTGGGGATACACTCTGGGACGTATACGTATGGTGTTACTTTGTAGGACGTGCACGTATGGTGAGGATACACTCTTGGACGTGTACGTATGGTGAGGATACTCACTAGGACGTGTACGTATGGTGAGGATACTCACTAGGACGTGTACGTTTGGTGGTGATACACTCTAGGACGTGTACGTATGGTGGTGATACACTGTAGGACGAGTACGTATGTTGAGGATACACTCTCGGACATGTACGTATGGTGATACACTCTGGGACGTGTATGTACCATGATGATACACTATGGGACGTGTACGTATGGTGATGAAACACTCTGGGACGTGTACGTATAGTTATGATAAACACTAGGACATGTACGTATATTGATACACTATGGGACGTGTATGTACCATGATGATACACTCTAGGACATGTACGTATGGTGATACACTATGGGACGTGTATGTACCATGATGATACACTATGGGACGTGTACGTATGGGGATTATACGCTCTAGGACGTGTACGTATGGTGACGATACACTCTAGGACGTGTACGTATGGTGATATATTCTGGGACGTGTACATATGGTGATACACTCTAGGACGTGTACGTATTTTGAGGATACACTCTTGGACGTGTACGTATGGCGAGGATACTCTCTAGGACATGTACGTATGGTGGTGATACACTGTAGGACTTGTACGTATGGTGAGGATTCACTTTGGACATGTACGTTTGATGATGCACTATGGGACGTGCATATAACATGATGATACACTCTGGGACGTGTACGTATGGTGATAATACACTCTAGGACGTGTACGTAACATGATGGTACACTCTAGGACATGTACGTATGGTTGTACGCTATGGGACGTGTATGTAAAATGATGATACACTCTGGGACGTGTACGTATGGTGATGATACACTCTAGGACGTGTACGTATGGTTATACACTCTGGGACATGTACGTACGATGCTGATACGCTCTAGGACGTGTACGTATGGTGATACACTGCGGGACGTGTACGTATGGTGACGATACACTCTGGGACATATACGTATGGTGACGATACACTCTGGGACATGGACGTATTGTGACGGTACGCTCTGGGACATGTACGTAAGATGATGATACACTGTAGGACATGTACGTATTGTGACGATACACTCTGGGGCATGTACTTATTGTGACGAAATACTCTGGGACATGTACGTATGGTGACGATACACTCTGGGATGTGTACGTATTTTAATGATATACGCTGGGACATGTTAGTATTGTGGCGGTAAACTATGGGACATGTACGTATGGTGATGATACACTCTTGGACATGTACGTATTATGACGATTTACTCTGGGACATGTACGTATGGTGACGATACACTCTGGGACGTGTACGTTTGGTGATACACTCTCGGACGTGTGCGTATGGTGATGATACAATGTAGGACGTGTACGTATGGTGACGATATACTCTTGGACATGTACATATTGTGACGGTACACTCTGGGACGTGTACGTATTGTGACAATACACTCTGGGACATGTACGTATGGTGACGATATACTCTGGGACGTCTACATATGGTGATACACTCTAGAACGTGTGCGTATGGTGATGATACACTCTAGGACGTGTACGTATGGTGATACACTATGGGACGTGTACGTACGGTGATGATATGCTCTAGGACGTGTACGTATGGTGATACGCTCTGGGACATGTGCCTATGGTGATACATTCTGGGACGTGAATGTATTGTTACGATACACTCTGGGACATGTACGTATTGTGATGATATACTCTGGGACATGTGCATATGGTGACGATACACTCTCGGACGTGTACGTATTTTGATCATATACTCTTGGACATGTACGTATTCTTACGGTAAACAATGGGACATGTACGTATTGTGATGATACACTCTGCTACGTGTACGAGTGGTGACGATACACTCTTGGACATGTAAGTATTGTGACGATTTACTCTGGGACATGTACGTATGGTGACGATTCACTCTGGGACGTGTACGTATGTTGACGATACACTCTGGGACGTGTACGTATGGTGGTGATACACTCTCGGACATGTACGTATGGTGACGATACACTGTGGGACGTGTACGTATGGTGACGACCTACTCTGAGACGTGGACGTATTGTGACGATACACTCTGGGACATGTACGTATGGTGACGATACACTCTGGTGCCTGTACGTATTGTGACGATACACTCTGGGGCGTGAACGTATGGTGACGACCTACTCTTGGACATGTACGTATTGTGACGATACACTCTGGGACATGTACGTATGGTGACGGTACCCTCTGGGACGTGTACGTATGGTGACGATACACTCTGGGACGTGTACGTATGGTGACGACCTACTCTTGGACGTGTACGTATTTTGACGATACACTCTGGGACGTGTACGTATGTTGATACACTCTCGGACGTGTGCGTATGGTGATACACTCTGGGACGTGTGCGTATGGTGATGATATACTCTGAGACATGTACGGATTGTGACGATACACTCTGGGACGTGTACGTATGTTGAGGATACACTTTAGGACATGAACGTATCGTGATACACTCTGGGACGTGTATGTACCATGATGATACACTCTGGGACATGTTCGTACGGTGATTATACGCTCTAGGACGTGTACGTATGGTGACGATACACTCTAGGACGTGTACGTATGGTGATACACTCTAGGATGTGTACGTATGGTGATACACTCTGGGACGTGTACATATGGTGAATCACTCTAGGACGTGTACGTATGGTGAGGATACACTCTTTGACGTGTACGTATGGTGAGGATACACTCTAGGACGTGTACGTATGGTGAGGATACACTCTTTGACGTGTACGTATGGTGAGGATACACTCTTGGACGTGTACGTATGGTGAGGATACACTCTTGGACATGTACGTATGGTGAGGATACAATCTTGGACATGTACGTATGGTGAGGATACACTCTTGGATATGTACGTTTGGTGATGATACACTCTGGGACATGTACGTATGGTGATGATACACTCTGGGACGTGTACGTATGGTGATGATACACTCTGGGACGTGTACGTATGGTGATGATACACTCTGGGACGTGTACGTATGGTGATACACTATGGGACGTGTACGTATGGTGATGATACACTCTGGGACGTGTACGTAACATGATGATACACTCTGGGACGTGTACGTATGGTGGTGATACACTCTAGGACGTGTACGTATGGTGATACACTCTGGGACGTGTACGTACGGTGCTGATACGCTCTAGGACGTGTACGTATGGTGATACACTGCGGGACGTGTACGTATGGTGACGACCTACTCTGGAACGTGTACGT